TTTAAAAGACACGATGTATTACTCTCATAAATGGCGCACCACCAAAACTACCTGGAATCTGATCTTGAAACTCACATCCACCACCCAACCTGAAAGAGCCAGCCATTTCCTGGAGAGCCCCATGTGGCTACGTCTATGGGTAGTGAGTTCTTAAGGTGCTAGTCACCTATTTTTCCTAAAACATATTAGGATTTAACATACCATTAACATAAAAACGTTTGTGCCTTCCTTAAAATCACCTTGCACACAGAAGTGCACAAAGCACACGGGAGTGATGATCTAGTCCAGGAGCTGACACACAATGGTGTTTGGCCCATTTCTGTATCGACCATGAACTATGAATGATTTTTATTTGTAAAAGATTGTGTTTTTGAAGAAGTGGAGGGAGAAAAAAGAGGAAGAAGAAAAAGGAGATGATGATCATGCAACTGAGACCTCGTGTGGCCACAAAGCCTAAAATATGTACTACCTGGCCCTGTAGACGCCCCACTTGCAGAAGCCCTGATAAGTCCGTCCCTTTATTTTACCACAGGACAACTCAAGTCCTAATACACCAAATGACTCAGAGGCACCTGAACACAGGTCTCCAGGCTTCTGAGCAAGTGAAGGAAGATTACCCAAGAAGCCACCAGCTTAAATGCATCAAAACGGGTGTCTGTCCAGTCACTTTGATTCCTTTTTAAGAACTGACTCCTGTCTAAAGGAAACAAAAATGTGGGCTGCACAACTCACCTGACTTGTTTTTGTCCTCAGCTCAGCTGAGGGCACCTGGCTCTGACCTGGCTCTGTGCCCCATGCCTGAAATTGCATCCTGTTTGCCCCCAGAGCCACTCCCTGCTTCTGCCATCCCCACTACAAGGCCCCCCTGTGTGCATCCCGAGCTCTCTGGGCACCAGCAGGGAGGAGTGAGGTGAGGGAGGACCCTCTCTCTGCACGCTGTCTCCTGGGAGATCGGCCCTTCACACAGCCAGCTGCGGCCTCAAAACCGTCACTTTCCCTCAGGCCGAGGGTGTTAGAAGTGGTCAGGGCCCCCTCACTGCTCCAGGCTGTGAACACCCTGCCTTGCTTTGTAAAAAGTCACTTTATTTAAACTCACCTCAAACTGCCCAACCTGAGAATGCACTCTGTTCCCTGCAGGACCCCTGATGGCAACAGCCTTAGAGGTAGTGAGCTCTGGATTTCTGTAGCTGCCAGGCCCACTGCAAGGGGGAGGGCTTGACCTCATGGGGCGGGGGCTGCAACAATCACATGATAGCCCTCCTCCTTCTAAATCGAGCTCCTAAGGACACCAGACATCACCACTACCCCATTCTCAAAAGTACCCACAGTGAGTCTAATGATCAGTTACAACAACACATTGCACTATCAAGGCTGATTTTTTTTTTTAATTCTGCAATGTTACGCAATAACATCTGAGCAGCTGGTATGCAGCAGACACTGTGCTAGGTCTTTCACACGCCTAGAAAAGCAGCCATCAATCCTCATTTCATAAACGAGAACACTGAACCTCAAAGAGTTTCAGCAGTGCTTATCAGAGCTCTAAGTGGTTGAGGTGGGAGTCACCCCGAAGGCCCCTCGGATCCACCTCCATGGTTGGCCAGGCTCCAACCAGCAAACAAAGCACATGGCTGACAGCTAGTCTGGCCACAGATGTCCTGGTCACATTACACAAATTAAAAGAAAAACAGAACCAGAAACAAAAGTTTCCTAACATAAAACAGAAGCTCTCTGAAGGCCACATTCACATAATCACATTGCCTGGGTGGGCCACCAGGTGAAATTACCTAGCACTTCCCCACCTTCCTGTGAATCCTGGGGAAGTTCGTGCACGTGTTCCTCTGGCATCAAATGAATGGCTGCTGTGTTATGAGCATTCGTCCCTCTGCTGAGCCTCCTCTACCCCAAACTCAGCATGGAGGAGGAGGCCAGGGCCTGCTATGTGCCTGGATACAAAGGCCTAGCAGCTTGCATCAAGCAACATTATTGACTTGTCATTGAATAGGAAAATTCTTTCCATGTCCCATTTTATATTTCCTCACTAATCTGATGAGGAATCAGAAGGCCTGCCCTCACAGTGTGATCTCTTTTTTTTTTCTTTTTTAAAGACAGGGTTTCACCATGTTGGCCAGGCTGGTCTTGAACTCCCGACCTCAGGTGATCCGCCTGCCTCGGCCTCCCAAAGTGCTGAGATTACAGTGTGATCTTGAGCAAGATACTCCGAGCCGCTGTTTCCGTTCTAGCATCTGAAACTGGGATAATGACAGTGTCACCCATACCCGCCCCCCAACTCTACCTTGTTCCTACTGTGAGGCTCAAGTGACAGCGAGACAAGACAGAAGTTAAACTCTCAGGTTAAACTGGATTCAAAAAATGATGGGACCAGGCACAGTGGCTCACGTCTACAATCCCAGCACTTTGGGAGGCCAAGGCGGGCAGATGGACGGCTTGAGTCCCAGAGTTGGAGACCAGCCTGGGCAACATAGCAAAACCATGTATCTACAAAATACAGGAAAAAAAATTAACCAGGCATGGCGGCTTGTGCTTGTAGCCCCAGCAGCCAAGGAGGCTGAGATGGGAGGATCACTGGAGCCTAGGGAGGTTGAGGCAGCAGTGGGCCAGGACCATGCCACTGCACACAGATCTGGGCAACAAAGCGAGATTTTGTCTCAAAAAAAAAAAAAAAAAAGATGGATAAGTTATTTAATTTCTTTGACTTTCCCTTTTCTCCTTTGCAAGATGAAGAGGTTTAAACGAATTTACGTATGTAAAGCGCTGCAGAGCACCTGGTGCATGGTATGTGCTATGTTTAACTATATTATTATTATTAGTTTCTTCATGTGTAAGATAGCTCATTAGTAGCCAACTCATAAAATGCTGTGAAGATTAGGTACCCAAAATGATAATTGTTTTTGTCATACCATAATGAAGGTATTAGGTTGGTGCAAAAATAATTGCTGTTTTTGCCATTAAAACAGCAAAAATTGTATTTTGTATTCAACAAAATACTATACAAATATACAGTTTAAAAAATAAAATAGGGTTTATTGTTTGACTTATTTCCATCTGCCCTGATTCAGATGTGGAAGACTTGAGGGCTGTTGCCCAGAAATATTAAAGTTGACTTAAAACTATTAAAAACATAAACAAAATGAAAAAATCGTAAAAACATAACATAATGACATTTTGTGGCCGATTTTAATTTTAAAACATCAAATATGTAAAGGTCCCAGTCTCCACAGCACCAACAACCAAAGCCCTTGGCGATGCCTGGACGCAGGGTAGTGGAGGGCAGGCCGTGGCTGTAGCCTTTCTAGATCACAATGAAGTGACCACCACACATCCGCTGGGGGTCTCACTCATGGATGGTCCCGCTCCACCCAGGGGCCTTTTCATCTCAGTTTGGCTTTTTGGCCAATTTGGAAGCATTACATTTCATTAAGAAAACGAAAGGCTTTTGCTTTACCTGTTCCACCAGAGGGACTGCTTCTCCAGTTTCTTCCACTCTGACCTCAGGCGGAAAAGGATTGCCCAGTCCAGAACCGCTTTCCTCCTTCCAGGAGGTCTGGACACTCACAAAGCCCAGTTATTTGTTTTGCAAACTGTGTATACATTGAATGGAAATGTTTGTTTTCCGTGTCCCGCTTTACGTCTCTAAAGACAAATGATTAAAGAATCATTTCAAGGGCATTTTTTGTTTTGCTCATCCCCTCCAACCTGCTTGTATTAAGCAGCCTCACTTCCTGCCTTTTAACTTACATTTCTGTCCACCTATCATCCACTCTTCTTTATTGACCTTTGCGTGTACAGCGTTGCTTCAAAAACCTTCAAAGGAAAGGTCAAAGTGAAATGTCACAAGGGAAGCAGGCCCGATGGCCAGTGGCCAAGGAGGCACCAACGCCCAGGTCTGAGGCTGTCTGTGGCATACATGACACTGCCCCAAAACACAGGTGGTGAGGGTGCAGTGGCCACCTGTGGGTCCCAAGCATGCCTTCAAGTGTGACACGCTGTCTGGGCCTCCTGGTCCCATGCCAAGTTACACCCGTGCCCGGAGAAGCCCAGTGGACTGGACCAGTGCGGGCTCCCCCAGCCCTCAGGGCAGCGCCAGGATGCTTCACACAAGAGTCACTCACTGGGTTTTCTACTTCATGCACATGCTGTTAAGGAATGGCAGGCGCCACCCAAAGGGGCAGGTGCCACTGTAATTTAATGGGGGAGAAAAGGTACAGAGGCCACTCAGGAAGATGCTGGAAAGACAAAAGGTAGGGAGGTGGGAAGAAACACTCAGGACTCAGGCACCAGGGCAAGGGACTACAAGAAAAAGGAAGAAGACCATGTGCGGGGTAGGGGAGGAAGGACTGGCCGGACACCACCAATTACCATCAATATGAGAGGAATAAGCCCAAGGCAACTCTGAAATCCTAAACTTGCATTTGAAAGCACTGAATCTGAGCTGAGGGTGGCCCTCAGTAAGGCACTGTGGCCCTGCCCCTCCGAATCCCCACGTCGCTCTCTGCCCCAGTTTGTAATCTACAAAGTGATTGGAAGCTCACAAAACATGGGCCCGAGCACTGCGGTTGACTGGTTCCGGGCAGGGAGGGTGACCCTGGGAAACCTGGATGGGACTGCTCTCAGCACACCAACCAGAAGCAGCCAACACACAACCGCAAGGGCCGACCCAACATGGTAACTAACATCTAAAGCTGCACAATTTGGTGAGAGAAAATTTCACTTGGGAGGGGTAAGTGGTCCAGAAGAAACAGAGACAGAAGTTCAAAGCCATCGGATATGCCACAGACAAATGGCTGGTATATACAAGAAACCACTCTTGAAAATGCAGATAGCAAATAATCTATCCCGTAGAGAATAATGTCATGAAACATGAAAAATTTAAATGGTTTATCTGTGCTCTAAAAACACAGTGATTTAAATTGAAGTTCACTCAGGACAATATTGTCATCAAAAATTCTTCAGTGGTGACATACATCTGATAAAATACTTACATTCATAAATGACAGTCAAAATATCCTCGGATCAAAAAGCAGTCTTGTCACATGTCCTGTGTCCAGCAGAACAGACAGGACTATCTGGCAGGCAGTTGGGTATGTGAGAATCTGAAACGAGGACCTTGGATGTGGGGCTCACCCAGAGGCACGTGTTGCCAGGAATGAGATCCCTGGGAGAAAAGAAGGCAGCTGTTACCAGAATTGTTGGGAACACCACACTCTGGGAGCCAAAGGAGGAAGTGGCAAACAAATGAGGGGAGGTGCAATTCTAGAGTCCAAAGGCAGACAGACTTCTCTAAAGCCAGGGAGTGTCTGACTGTGTGTCAGCCTTGAGGCTCACATCCTCCCCTTTCAAAGTGCTCCAGGAGCCACAAGAGACAACCCGACTCTATGGTAGCTTAGCAGAGAGTTGTCAGATCCAATACAAGACTGCCCAGTTAAGTCTAAATTTCACATGAACAACAAAAAACTCATCAATGTAAGTATGCCCCAAATATATCATAATGATGCCCCAAATATATCATAACGATGTCCCAAATACTGCCAACAAATAATTTTTTCATATGGTTATACTAAAAAAGGTATCCATTGCTTATCTATAATTCAAATTTAACTGGGCATTCAGTATTTTTATTGTTAAACCTGGTAACCCTAGTTTGGTACTGACAGCTCAGGCCTGAACACCTCTCCCGCGCCCAGCACCTTTCTAGCCCCGGACCACGAGCCCTGACTCCCGCAGGCTTTGCTGCTCACCCAGCTACTAACAAGCAATGACTCCGTTCTTTGACAAGCTCTCTCACATGCTGTACACGAAGAGGGCCTCCTTCTACAGACTCACAAAAGGACAGAATCTGTAAAAGAAGGGAATGGCCAACAGAATTAAACATTTCAGACACACCACAGGGGGTGAGGACTGAGAAGAGATCAGTAGATTGTCTATTTCAAGAGAGAGGCAATTGTGAACCGTCTGAGTAGAACAGTAAGAGCTTAGTTTACAAAGGGATGAAGATAGACGGTAGGACTGTGACGTTCTCTCTAGCTCACTTAATCATAAGAAAACAGGGTTCCTGGCCAACAGGTTGTGTTACCACTCTATCTGTTGCCAGGGAGTTATGACCCATAAGGGCAAGAACTTGGGAAAGTCCATGCCAGCACCTGCAGGGGCTCACCCGATACCTATGAAACAAATGAATACATGAATGGAGGAAATCTTCTCAAAGAGCCTGTTTTGAAATTGAAATCTCATATAAAAATAGAAAGCCAAGGTCTAGGGTAAACCTTAACATTTCATAGCACTCACTGGGGCAGCTAATATTCTTTTTTTTTGAGACGGAGTCTCGCTCTGTCACCAGGTGCCAGGCTGGAGTACAGTGGCACAATCTTGGCTCACTGTAACCTCTGCCTCCCGGGTTCAAGCAATTCTCCTGCCTCAGCCTCCCGAGTAGCTGGGACTACAGGCACGTGCCACCAGGCCCAGCTAATTTTTTTTGTTGTTATTTCTTTTAGTAGAGACAGGGTTTCACCATGTTGGCCAGGATGGTCTCGATTTCTTGACCTCATGATCCACCCACCTCAGCCTCCCAAAGTGCTGGGATTACAGGCGTGAGCCACCGCGCCCAGCCATATTCTTTACTCTTTAACCAGTCTGTCAGCAGAGGATTATCTGCAGCACAAATCACAAGTATCTGTGCTGGGCCCAAACCAAACAAACGAACAGAAACACCTGCCATTCCACCCAATGAAGCACATGTTAAGATTCACAAAACTAAAGCAGAGAAGAAAAGCTGCCACTGTCTAAACTCAAGCTAATCTTGTTCAGAATACGCACTTTTTCTGTGCCCCTTTGGGTAACCATTGCAACTGTTCTTTAGTTACAGGAGCACCTAATCAAACATCTGAAAACACCATGATTTTTCTTATTTATACATAAAAGTATTATTCTACCCAGTGCCAGTTTCTCTTGATTTGTGCTGGAAAAATGCCCAGGGAGATCTTATCCAAACAGTAAACTCGAACAACAAAAAAAAGAAGACATATAGTTTAAAAAGCTGAGTACTAGGCCAGGCGCAGTGGCTCACGCCTATAATCCCAGCACTTTGGGCCATCGCGGGTGGATCAGGAGGTCAAGAGATCGAAACCATCCTGGCTAATAGGGTGAAACCTCATCCCTACTAAAAATACAAAAATTAGCCGGGCATGGTGGCGTGTGCCTGTATTCCCAGCTACTAGGGAGACTGAAGCAGGAGAATCGCTTGAACCCGGGAGTCAGAGGTTACAGTGAGCCGAGATCACGCCACTGCCTCCAGCCTGGGCAACAGAACAAGACTCCATCTAAAAAAAAAAAAAAAAAAAAAAAAGCCAAGTACTATATACTGCTTCTAATTTATGATAAATCCCCAGTGTATTCCGAATTTTTAAAAAGAAAACTTTGTTTTGCTTCTGTAAACTTTCTGTTGTGCTAAAGGACCCAACTAGAATTTACAAACAAATAGGAGTCTGAATAAAAGGTGTATTTAGCTTTTGGATATGCTATTAAATATTACTTGTCATCAAACAGATGTGCCATACGTCTGTCCCTGAATCCCCTAAAATACTTACTTCTAGGTATTTTATGACACAATTAAGAGTTAGCCTAAAAGTAAGTTTATGCACAAACTAAACCAAAGGTTTCTCATGCCAATGTCTAAATAAAAGTTTAGATTCCAAATGTGGTCTATGTTTTCAATATGGTACAAATCTTTCCAAAGCTGGCCCAAAGAAACAGATTTCTGTCCCTGCTTGAGGGACATGACTGCCCACTGTGGTCCTTTGCCCCTGCCTTTCAACTTTCTGGAAGGGCATACAGAGCTCCCCATTCAGAACTGAAATACATTTTGTATTAATTTCCACCAAATATCATTAATGTTTAACGTTGCCTAGTACTCACATGAACAAGAACAAGAACGCCCGGCACTGGTGGAGTTCTCAAGAAATTTAGGCCAGGTGCGGTAGCTCATGCCTATAATCCCAGCACTCTGGGAGGCTTAGATAGGAGGATCCCTTGAGGCCAGGAGTTTGAGACTAGCTTGGAAAACACAGCAAGACCGTCTCTACGAAAACTATTTTAAAAAATTAACCAGGTGTGGTGGTATGCACCTGCAGTCCCACTTATTCAGGAGGCTGAGGCAGGAGGACTGCTTCAGCCCAGGATGTCAAGGCTGCAGGGAGCTGTGATCACGCCATGCACTTCAGCCTGGGCGTCAGTATGGGATCCTGTCTCTAAAAAAAAAGTTAAGAAAACAAAAGAAATTTAAAGCTTCCTGCAGATAGGAAGAACCACACTAACTATATGCAGATAAGACTAAACAATGTTCTAACAGCAGAGAACAAGGTAATGCAACTGACATGGTGTTAAAATTGGGCATCAGTTACTTGCATTGTATCACTGTTTCTTAGGGTCATGCATTCTCCCTACGTTCTAAAGGCTGACACCAATAGTACCAACTTGAAATCAAACCTATACTTGGTGGAGCTGCAGAAAGTGAGAGCAGGTGACAGGATGTCTGGGCCATCCCAATGGTCCACTTGCTGAGGAGGAGCCCTGTTCTGTGAGTGCCCTGTGGGCTTCCAGGACAGCAGATGCACCATCTCCAGCGCCATTTAAAACTAAATGAAAGAATGAGGAGGGGAAAAAAAGAAAACTGATATCTGCTGCCCAACTGATAAATGTACTGCTCTATACTGAGAACTGGCCAGACACTGCCTCGGTCTCAGACACCCTGGAAGGTGGCACCTGACGAGTGGGCACAGGAAGGCCTGGAGCTGGCTCCTACAGCCAGTCAGCACCAGAGACAAGGCTAGAACCCAGGTCTATCTAGCACCAACACCTCTGCTCCTCTCACCTCCCATTCAGGTAGCTCTGGGTCAGAGGGGCCCTGGCCCTAGCCTGTCACCTCCATTGCTGGTTTTCTTTTTTTAATCACCAGATTTAAATGCCAGTGCAGAACTTTACAAACTGCTTTACCCAGAGTGAAACACAGGCTCAATTATAAAATTCAAATGAAATCTGGCATAAGGTAGTTGTCTTTTACTGTAGCCTGAATCGGCAAAAGGTACAATGAACTCGATGGTTTGATGGGGCAGGGGCTTCGTCTCCCCGCGCCTTGGCAGCCACCTTCTATCCCAGCCACTCTGTTGCCAAGGACGTCTTGGGCTTTTCTCCATACCTCAAGCTGGTGGCTGGGCTGGCACCCAGCTCTGACTCTGAACTCCCACCCAACTGGGTCAGGGTTAGCCAGAGCCAGGCGCCAGATTCAGCAGGCTCCCACAGTTGGAGCCAAATGCACAAATCAGCTCCAAACACCTCGTTGCTGGAGAGAGGGGGGGTTGATGAGGCTGTGGAGGAAGCTGGGTGCCCAGTGCAGGAGAAGTGTCACTAACTGAAGGGTGGCGGTGTCTCCTGGGGTGTGGCTCTGGGAAGTCCCGAGTAAAGGCGGACAGGTGGAAAACAAACTGGAGAGAGCAGGGAAATCTGAAATTTGGCTCCGAGAGGGTTGTGTCCATCCTGGGGCTGCAATTTGCTTTACAATGACCTGCAGAATGCAAACCAGACAGCTCTGATGGGCCTCTTGGCCATCAAGTTGTCCTGCTCCTCACTGAAATGTCACATAGCCTGTATTTGGAGAGCCAAGATCACAAGAAATAATATCTTGAACAATCTTAGTCACCTCCAGCAGAGTGGTTCTGTCTTTGGAGGAGCTTGCAAAGCAGGCTTTGTGGGCCAGCATGTCCCATGATAGCATTTGCAAAAGATTTGTGATCACCCCACGCACCACTGGTGCCCGCCTGCTGAGCGGCCACAGAGAACCACGTTCTTCTGGAGCCCGCAACCCTCTCTTCCTCCACTGCCTCTGCATGACACCAGCTGTGGAAAGTCCTGTTTGCTTTTCATTTATTCTAAAACATTTGCAAGTTCTGACAAGGAACATGCGTTGACTTCCAGAGCTGGTCACAAAGTCTGTGGTTCTCGCTATGGCCTGTCACCATTTGAGACTGATGGCATCTCTTACCCGAAGACTGAAAGATCTTTGGGATCTTTCAGTCAACCCTCTTAGGAAGTCCCTGACATCCCCAAACAAAAGCCAAAACTTCACTGGGGCTGGCAAATGAGATGTCCCCTCTTCTGTTGCAC